ACATGGCCAGACGTCGCCGCAAGCGTCGACGAAAGATCGCAGACGTCGCCGCGCGAGGAACACATCGCCGAAGCATCGCCGCGTGGGGAACGTATCTCCGAGCGTCGCCACCGCATTTTCGGCGTAGGGCGCTTGAACACTGATTCGTGGATGGTTCACTTTTGGGGCCTGCGTCTGCGAGGGTAGACTGACATCACCAGCTGTCGCTCCTCTTATGGGCGGTTTGGGTTGCCATATGCGGATCGCTCCAGAGACGCATCGGACTCTGATGAACAGAAGGCGATTGGGGGGGACAGGAAGATGAGGAGGAGGAGACGTAGGAGGAGGAGGACGAGGAGGATCAGCAGATAATGAGGAGAGGCGTGGCAGAGGCGGCGTCGCATTGCATCACCCCCCATCAGGCGTTGATCCAACGTGCTTGATGCCAGCCCCTGGGTGAAGGCCGAATTCTTCACACGTTGGGGGCCGTCGAAGGGGCCGACGGCCTTTGGGACGTTTCGGGATTGTCGGACGCTTCCAGGGGATCTTCTTGATTGGCAGGTCGTGCCCTAAGCACCCAGTTGCCTTCTGTAAGACGGATGCTGACGACAAGGGGGTGGAGGATCAAGAGGAGGGAAAGGACAGGCAGCGTTGGGATGATCACGAACAGGAGGATGGCATGGACGAGAAGGATTGCCAGGTACGATACGTAGAGGAGGAGAGGGATGACGACGACGATGATGATCCTGATGATGATAATGATGATGATGACGATGATGGTGGTGGTGGTGATGGTAATGATGATGCTGATGATGATGCTGATGATGATGCTTGTGATGATGATGATGGTGATGATGCTGATGATGATGATTATGATGATGCTAGCGACGATGATGATGATGCTGATGATAATGATGATCGTGACGATCGATAATGGTGATGTGTTTGATGATGCTGGTTACGATAATGGTGATGGTGCTGGTGATGATGAAAATGATGCTGCTGATGCTGATGCTGATGATGATGATGTTGATGCCGATGATGCTGCTGATGATGAGGATGTTGATGTCGATGATGATGTTGATGCCGATGATGCTGCTGATGATGAGGATGTTGATGTCGATGATGATGTTGATGCTGATGATGATGCTGATTATGGTGATGCTGATTATGATTATGATTATGATGATGATGGTGATGATGATGATGATGATGATGATGCTGATGCTGATGCTGATGCTGATGATGATGATGATGATGATGATGAGGAGGAGGAGGAGGAGGAGGAGGAGGAGGAGGATGTGGATCATGACCATGGTGACTACGATGAGGACGATATTGAAGAATTCCTCGAAGGCAGAGGGGGAGAAGGAGGAGGAGAAGGAGGATGCGAGGATGAGTGGGACAATGAAACGGGTGATGAGGAACGAAGATGTTGATACGGGGGCTGGTCATGAGGGCACAGTGATGAAGGGGATGGTAAGAAGGCGGATGCTGAGGATGAACATGAGGATGAATGCTGATGACGACGATGATGGGGGTGATGAGGATGATGCTGATGATGGTGACGACGATGATGACGATGCTGCTGATGATGACGCTGATGATGATACTGACGACGAAGCTGATGCTGACGCTGATGCTGATTCGACGCTGACGCTGATGTGCCGGTGTCCTCCTGGGGCTCCTCCCGAACGGCTGGTGCCTGCATCTGCCGGGTCCTCGGCTATGCGTCCAGACGCGGGCATCTGCGCCGAGCGCAGCGCGCCCCGCCCGCGCATCGGAGGAGGAGGAGGAGGAGGAGGAGGAGGAATAGGAATAGGAATAGGAATAGGAATAGGAATAGGAATAGGAGGAGGAGGAGGAGGAGGAGGAGGAGGAGAAGGAGGAGGAGGAGAAGGAGGAGGAGGATGAGGAGGAGGGACCCTTCGCGCAGCCTCTGGCGGTGGCTCTGCGCGTGGGTGGCGCCGCTGGCTCGCGGCCTCTGCGGGCCTGCCGGGCTCGGACGCGCGCCTGCGCGCGCGCGTGCAAGCCACGGGGTTCGGCTACCCCCCTCCTCCTCCCTCCTCCTCCTCCTCCTCCTCCTCCTCCTCCTCCTCCCTCCTCCTCCTCCTCTCCTCCTCCTCCTCCTCCTCCTCCTCCTCCTCCTCCTCCTCCTCCTCCTCCTCCTCCTCCTCCTCCTCCTCCTCCTCCTCCTCCTCCTCCTCCTCCTCCTCCTCTCCTCCTCCTCCTCCCTCCTCCCCTCCCCCTCCCCCCTCCCCCCCCCCCCCCTTCTCCTCCCGCTCCCCCTCCCCCCCCTCTCCCTCCCCCCCCCCTCCGGCGTCGCAGCTCTCGCGGCGGGCGGCACCGCTGCGCGCCGCGCCCGCGGGCCGTCCGCTTCTTCGCCGTGCTCTCCCTGAGGGGGTGGGCCCCCTGCTGCGGAGGCCCCGCCATGGGGCGCCCGCGTCGGGCAGCCCGCCCGGGGTGCCTCCCGGGCGGCCAGGGAGCTCTCTCCCCAGGCCCCCGACGTCGTGAGCGCCGCAGCGTCGACTCTGGAGATCTCGACGCCCATGCTGCAGCGGGAGGGGGCGAGAGGAGGGGGAGGAGGAGAGCAGGGGGAGGAGGAGGAGGAGGAGGAGGAGGAGGAGGAGGAGGAGGAGGAGGAGGAGGAGGAGGAGGGCCCCCAGGGTCGGGGAAACGTAAGACTCGAGTAAGCTGGATGCGGGTCTGCCGTTTTGTTTTTTTTGACGAGCGCGTTTTGGATCTTGACAGTCCCGTGTTCGTGGGATGTCTGCAGCGGGAGCCCGCGTCAAATTTCAGATTGGGCCTTGCCGTTTTTATGGTGGCCCCCGTCAGGCTAACCCGAGTCCCCCGTACCCGAGTCTCACGTCTCCCCGACAGAGGCCGAACATGGCGGAAAACCTCCCGTCGCGTTTCTGTAAATTTGTTTTACAGCGCGTGGGGGTCTGGGCTTGTGGACAGGGTCCTGGAGCCCGCCGCCCGGCGCCTCCCACCAGCTGGCGGAGGCCAGATGAGGAAACCTTCGCCATTCTTCCCTGGCCTTCCAGCGCGCTGAAACCTCGTCCCTCCAGACCTAGAGGCCCATCTGGATTGCTGATGGCCTCGGCACCAATTTAGGCGTCAGGGTCCTGGGGCTATTTGTCACGCAGTGGCAAAGCGTCCACAGCGTCCCAGCTCGCCTACAGGCCTGCCAAATAATGTTCCAAGAGCCTATTGTGGTTTGCAAGAAGAGTTCTCAGAACAGTTCTGGCTGAGACCGTCTTGGTTTCACACGCCAGGCTGGTGCACTGAGAACCTTGAACATGTTTGGGTCCGTAGAGAATTTCTTGGTGTGCCTATCGGAATGCCGGGACGGTCGGTCCCTGCTCAAGAGATTCACACACACACACACACACATTCTCGTGCTCAGGGCTGCGGGAGCCGGCCGGGTCTCGGAGACGACCGAGCGTCTCCGAGCACACGGCCTTCGGCAGGTGCCCCGGGCGGAGCCGCGGGCCCCACGAGCTGGGAGTGCGGCGAGCTGGGGCGCAGGAGCTGCTGGCCTTCGCGATGGCATCGTTCTGAGGGGCCACATCCCAGAGATGGCTTCGAGCACCCCGAAAACAGGTATCGGAGCGGCGTCGAGCGAGTGTCGCCTCCCAGGGCTCGACGCGTGAGAACCCTCGAGTTTCGGCATCTTCTTGGTGCTCGAAGTGCTTTTTGGCGATCCAGGCTAAAGCAGGTTAGAACATCCGAACTAATGGCGCCCCTCCGCCAGGAGGACACGCCGGCCAGCAGAAGTGGTGCCCTGCCGCCCGACGGGCGACGGCGCTGCGCTGGTGCCCCGCGAGGCCCTGCCGGGCCCGCGAGGCGCGCGCCCGGCAGACTGCTGGGGCGCTCGAGGCGGGGCTGCCGCCTCGCCCGCACTGCTGCCCTTGCTGCTCTACACCAATTATTGCGCCGGAGGCGAACTCGCAGGCCTCGAGCAGTCACCGAGTCACTGCGAGGAGCTCCACGACATGCGAACGGCCCCGCAGTCCACGTGAGCGCCGCCGCGGCCCCGGGGGCGGGAGGTGGCCGACATCGAGCGGTTGCGGAGCTGCCCGCGCGGGGCTGGATGGCATGATGACGGACGCGTCAAGCTGAACCGGCTGCACCCGAATGCTCAGCGCGCGACCGACGACTGGTTATCCGAAAGAAGGATGAGGTGTTCGCTGAGGGTATCAAGTTTTTGGGGCACCTTGTCCGACAGATCCGGCGACATGAGAGGACTCGCGATGTGCCTGGGCCCGCAGGGTCGGGATGACCTGCGCAGCGCTGACTGCGGAGTGGCCCCCCCGCCACGTGAGCGTCGCAGAGCAACGGGTTCGACTGCGCTGACATTGTCGCGTATGTTTCCCTCGTATGGTGGCGCGTAAGCGGCCGCGCTTCCAATGTAGCTTGCCGAGCTGGCGGCCCGCGTCAACCATCGCGTAAGGTCGCTGTGCCATTTCGCGTAAGACCCGCTTGTTCTCGTCGCTCAACTGCGTACTGATACCATCCAGGCGCGGGGCCCTTCAGGCAAGGACGCCGTGGGTGCGAGGCGATACGCACGCGACGCGACGCGCGCCCGAGCCCCTCCCTCACCGCCTCCGGTTGCGCTCCCTCCTCATCCCGATCCCTGTCCTCCTGCTCTCCGTCCCTCTCCGCCCTCCGTCCTCCTCGGGCCCCGCCGCTCCTCCTCCCACGGTCCTCCTGCGCCCCTCCGCTGTGTCCTCCTGCTCCCCCTCATTGCGTTTGCGAGCTCATGTCCGCCCTCTCTCGCTTCTCTCCACGATCCTTTTTGACCCAGTAAGACCGTTCCTCGGGTCGGGAGGATGGGGCTGGGAGAAACGAGGACGTCACTACCCGTAGGCGGTCGAAGGCATCGTGCCTTGCATCCGAATGCTATTGCTCATGCCCTTCCTCCTCTCAACCCCCTCATCTGCAAGGGGAAGGGGGTGAGGCTTTATCATCCGGGGGTTGGGGTTGCTCATGCCCTCCTCTCGCTCCTCTCCCCGATCCCTCTCGATCTGCTGTCGTTTACTCGCCCCAGCCGCCGCTCCCCCCACCGCCGGAGGGGGAGAGACCCAGGGCTCCCGCGCCATGTGCCGGCGCGCCCGATGCGGTCGCGGCGATGCTGTTCTCGGGCTCGGCCCGCCACTCGCTGGACGCCGCCGTCGCACGCGCTGGTGATCGGACAGCCCGGACATCCGCCGATCGGAGGTGGTCCAGAAATGGCCGTGCCGTCGAGGATCGAAGGAGTTGGCATCTTTTCCTCGGCGGAGGGCGGCGGAAGGCGGCGGAAGGCCGGCGGAAGTAAAACGGAAGGAAAGCGGGGGGGTGGTTCAGCCGGCGGGAGCCGGCGGAATGGTGGCAGAGGGCGGCGGAAGTATAAGGTGCGCCCCCACTGAGAGATGCCACTTAGAGAGTGGTCTGCGGAATCCGCCGCAGGTTTTTGTTTGTGGACAAAAACAGATGCCTGGTTTTTTCCATCGGCGGCCCTAGAGGTCCCGACCCCTGCCTGGGGTGGTAGATTTTGTTCGCCCCCAGACCTCTTTTGGATGGCCGCTGGGTCCCGATAACGGGGGGCCCGCAGAGGCCGCAGCCGAGGAGCACGGGCGGATTGGAAGAAGACCATGCTGTCGGAGGTCTGGGGATGCGCACGGACACACCCACAGCCAATCATTGGCCAGGACGATCCCGGGCCCAAGAGCGAAGAAGACAAAACGCCATAAACATAAACTTTTGGCGCTCCGCGCGGATTTTTTGGGTTCGCGCTGGGCCCCCCCGGCGGCGCCTCGGGCCGGATCCTAGCAATCCGTGCGGAGCGCCAAAAGTTTATGTTTCTGTTGTTTCTTCTTCTACAAGAGCTGCGTGCAGACTCGAGAGTCGGCGGTGAGCGAGAGGGGGCAGTGAGAGGGAGAAGGCCTCAGGAGGCGGCGGGGCTTTTCGGAGGCCCTCGCGCCTTCCGAGAGGTGTCCTCTGTCCTTCGGGGAGGGCGGAGGACGCTTCTCAGAAGGCCGGGAGTCTTCCGAGACTCTCCTCCTCCTCCTCCTCCTCCTCTCTCCTCCTCCTCCCTCCTCCTCCTCCCTCCTCCTCCCTCCTCCTCCTCCTCCCTCCTCCTCTCCTCCTCCTCCTCCTCCTCCTCCTCCTCCTCCCTCCTCCTCCTTTCTGGGAAGGCCTTCTCATTCTCATTTCCCCCCAGGGGCCCGCCGCCGACGCCGTGCATTCCGACAATCCGCATGAGAAGGACGAGTCACGCTCCAAGGCTGTTTGTTTATCCTTCCCCTTCGGCCTCTGCTTGGCCGCGTTCGCTGGCCGCGCCCCCGCGCTCGCAAAGGGTCGACATGGCCTTCCAAGGCCCTTGCATCCTTATTATATTATCGTGCGTCCTGATCACACGGGTTGACTGTAGACGCCCTCCAGGTCCAGCCAGGACGGCGTGCACACCGATTCTGCGCCACAGGACCCTTTGACTTCCAGAGTGCTAGAGCATAGCCCTACATGCATCGATGGACCTATCTGGACCGCCCAGCACCTCGACGGGAATCTAGACGTCGAGATCCTGGTGTTTTTTTTGTCCGCGGTCCTGGAAGGTCCGTGCAGTCCTGGCCAGGACTCCCCACCCAGCGCTCCGCCATCTGTGGCGTGCCGGGGGCCGTGGAACGGGGGGACGATCAACGAGGGGGCAGCGAGGGCTGCCGCAAAGGGGCCCTCTGGGGCCCCTGCAGGGGCCCTCTCGGGCCCAGAAGGGGGCCTTCAGGGCCCAGAAAGGACACCTGCTTCCCCCCCCCAGTCATCGCCCCCCCATTGCTTCGCGCCAACTTCGTGTCGTCGGTCGGCGCTCCGGGGGGAGGGGCGCCGATCTGGGCCACATCGGGGTGGCCCTCGCGCTGCCTCGACCTGCACCTTCCGCACCTTCGCGCGGAGGGTGCCGCTACGATGCGGCCTCGGCGGTGGCTCCCGCTGCGACCGCGGCGCGGTCGCGGCAGCGCTCTGCATCTGCCGCGCGGAAGGTGCGAGAGGTGCAGGCCGAGGGTTCCCCCGTTCTTCGAGTAGGGGATCGACTACAGCACTGATTTACGCCAACATTGATTTTCAGTCGAGCCTACAAACAATTACGACGATTGCTCCGTAGAGTCACCAACATGCTACGTACTTGTTCGCAGATTCGACGAGCAAATCATTTGGGGGTAAATCAATTCTGGAATCGATCCTCTGCAACAGTTTTCCTTGAGAGCCTGGCGTCGCAAATGTTTCGCGCCGGGCGTCTTCGCCCGGTGTCAGGGCTGCAGGGCCCTCACGGTCCGGTCCAGCATCGCAAAAGGGCGCACAAAGATGAAGTCCGGGGGGTTGGTCGTGAAATTTCTCGGGATCCCGCAACCCTGGAGATCCAGCGTATTGAAAGAATCAAGACGGAGGTTTTTCGCCCTTTACTGCCTCTAGAGGCCCTTGCCGGGCCCCGGGACTGTTACAAAACGACTCAGGATGAAAAACCGGTCACGGGGAAGGTGTCGGGACCTCTGGTGACCCCGTGTTGAAAAAATCACGACATCGGATCTCTGGGAAGGGTGTGTGCGCCCCTGGGTGAATGTGAGTTCGACCGGTTCTTGCACCGAACCGCCCAAACCAGGTGCCCCCCAGCCGCTGGCAGCTTCCGATGGTCGCCGATTGGGGGCATTTGTTTGCGGCAGTTCGGTGCTCCAGCGGATCGAACTCATGCCCTCGCTCAGGGTCACCCCCCTTTTGGTGGATCCCGATGCTCGTGATGTTCTGATCTTTCACAGCGTCGGATCTCAGGGAACGCTGAGGATCTGATGTTTCTGCGCGCGTGTATGGCTGGCGCGGTCCCAGCCATGACCAAATGCAGGGATGTAGTCTGCGAGTCCTCCCCCTCCTCTGTCCTGGAGCGCGTTCTGGGCAGGATCGAGAACAGTCCTTCCAGCCGTAGGCCCACGAGCCCTGATATCCGACGTTGTGGACAAACATGCAACATCGCGGGCAATCGCGACGGGAGCCTCACCCAATCTTTCTGCGGCATGTTTTCGAGCTGGATCGATCTTTGATGGTCCCCGGGCCCGAGACCGGGCGAAAACGCCTGGCGTGGAATCTTTGCGACGCCAGGGTCTCGTGGGGGGGGGGGCGAACCACACCAGCCGGTGGCGTCCTCCCAGGTGAGGCGCTGTTCGCGTCGTTTGACGCCGTCTGCTGCTCGCAGGGTGGCAAGTGCGACCGGGCCCGCCGCGCGTGCTGCAGCAGCTCGCAGGGCGCGCACGCGGAGCTGCAGGAGGCGCAGGAGCTGTCCTTTGTCGCCGAGGACCTGGGGCCGCGGCGGGGGCTTTCTCCATGGCCACCGCCCAGGGTATCGATTCGCAGGAGACTCTGGCATGCCGTGGGTATTGTGAAGGCCTTACGGCCGGTGCCGCCGACCCTGAAGGTTTTGGCCGTCGATGGCGACGGGATGTGTGATCACAGGAAGGAGCTAAAGGACAACGTGACAGGGTAGGCGGAGGAAGTGTGCGAGGAGGAGGAGGAGGAGGGGGAGGGGGAGGAGGAGGAGGAGGGGGAGGGGGAGGAGGAGGAGGAGGAGGAGGAGGAGGAGGGAGGAGGAGGAGGAGGAGGAGGAGGAGGAGGAGGAGGAGGAGGAGGAGGAGGAGGAGGGGGAGGGGGAGGAGGAGGAGGAGGAGGAGAGGAGGGGAGGAGGAGGAGGAGGAGGAGGAGGAGGAGGAGGAGGAGGAGGAGGAGGAGGAGGAGGAGGAGGAGGAGGGGCAGGCGGCGGGTATTTATATGTCTGGGCCCTAGAGGGGCCCAGCTCTTTCCGCGTGATCGACGTGCGCGCCGCTCTGCCTGCACTCGGCTTCCTACGCCCTGTCGCTGCGCGCGGGGCCGCGACGCCCAGAAGTGTGCGTGTGCGTGTGTGTGTGCGCGTGTGTGCGCGTGCGTGTGCGTGTGCGTGTGTGAGAGAGAGAGAGAGAGAGAGAGAGAGAGAGCGAGAGAGAGAGAGAGAGAGAGTGAGCGCGCGGGTGTGAGTGAGTGTGTGTGTGTGTGTGTTTGTGTGTGTGGTGTGTGTGTGTGTGTGTGTGTGTGTGTGTGTGTGTGCGTGGGTGCGTGCGTGCGTGCGTGCGTGCGTGGGTGCGTGCGTCCGTGCGTGTGGGCGCGCGCGCGCGTGTGTGTGTGTGTGTGTGTGTGTGTGTGTGTGTGTGTGTGTGTGTGTGTGTGTGTGTGTGTGTGTGTGTGTGTGTGTGTGTACGTGTTTGCCTGTGCGCGTGTGCTTCTTTAGGCCTTCTACACGGCGGCTTGTTGGGGGCCTGTTGAGGCCGTGGGGCTGCACTGGGCGCGATGGTTCGGGCTCTCCCGACGATGCTCGACTAAACCACCTTGGGGAAGTCTGGATGGGACGGGCCGTCTTGGAGACCTCGTTGGGCGGTCTTGGGCCGTCTTTGGGTGCAGGGTCCCGGGCCATCTTGCGCGTTTCTCTGTGCTATCATGGGGCTTCCTGGGACGCTTCTGGGTCCCTCTTCGGTGATGTAGGAGGTCTCCCAGGCGATTGGAAGCCGAAAAAACGCTGGATGTGAAACCGCTAGCCCGAGATAGGGCGAAACCGTCGGGAGTGAAAACAACGCGACGCCAGGAGCTCAGGCTTCGTGTTTTGATTCGGCTGTCCCTGTGGCAGCTTGATGACTGTTGCAAACTCAGGAGGAGGGGGATAATGATGTGAAGGAGGAGGTGAGGAGGTTTTGGAGGAGGAGGGGGGGAGAGGGAGGATGAAGACCATCACGAGGTATGTGGAGGAGAAGAGGAGGAGGAGGAGGAGGAGGAGGAGGAGGAGGAGGAGGAGGAGGAGGAGGAGGAGGAGGAGGAGGAGGAGGAGGAGGAGTGCGAAGACGAGGTAGGCGGAGGAGGGGGAGGAGAAAGGAGGAGGAGAGGAGGAGGAGGAGGAGGAGGAGGAGGAGGAGGAGGAGGAGGAGGAGAAGGAGAGGGAGGAGGATAAGGAAATAGGAGGAGCGTAGGAGGAGGAGGAGGAGGAGGAGGAGGAGGAGGAGGAGGAGGAGAGGAGGAGGAGGAAGAGGAGGAGGAGAGGAGGAGGAGGAGAGGAGGAGGAGGAGGAGGAGGGGGAGGAGGAGGAGGAGGAAGAAGGGAGAGAAGGCGGAGGAGGAGAAGGAGGAGAAGGAGAAGGAGGAGGTGGAGGAGGAGGAGGAGGAGGAGCAGGAGGGGGATGATGATGATGAGGAGGAGGAGGAGGATAAGGAAGAGGAGGCGGAGGACGAGGTGGAGGAGGAGTAGGAGGAGGAAGAATAGGAGGAGGAGATAGATAAGGCGGAGGAGGAGGAGGGGGAGGAGGAGGAGGCGGAGGACGAGGTGGATGAGGAGGATGAGGAGGATAAGGAAGAGGAGGGATAAAAGGACGAAGAGCCAGACCACCGATGTCTTGATCATTTCATAACGCCCACCCTTTCAGGCCTCGTTGCGCTCCCCAGGGCCAGCCTCTCATCCCGAGCAGTGTGTTGACGGCCCCGAGGCCCCGCAAGTGCCCCCCAGAGAGGGGTTTCCCGCCGCATGTTGAGAGAGACCTCACGCCTGCAACCGGCCCCAATCTAAGAAGACGAAGAAGAATAATAAGAAGCATAATAATAATACCAACAAGAATAATATTTTTATTATTGTTAATAATAATACTACTATTATTATTATTATGATTATTATTAATAATAATACTAATAATAATAATACTAAACATAATAATAACAACAAAAATAGTAGTAATACGAATAATAATAATACGAATAAGAAGAAGAATAATAAGAGTAATAATAGTAATAATAAGAATAATACACGCCATAAACGTAAACTCTTTGCGCTCCGCGCGGATTCCTTGGATACGGCAGCGCCTCCGGCGCCGCCCCTGGCGCGGTGCGCGTGCCAGGGGGTCCAGCGCGGATCCCAGAAATCCGCGTGGAGCGCCAAACGTTTATGTGTATGCCGTTTTTTCTTCTTCTACCCGAGGCCGCATTTTGAGAGAGAGAGAGAGAGAGAGAGAGAGACCTCCCGCCGATTCGAGGGAGGGCCTGGGGAGGAAGATCCGACGTGGCCAGGACGAGGATACATCCGTTCCCCAGCGCCTTCAGGCACGCCCCCGGAGCGGGAGCGTTGCGGGACGCTCCGAGGAGGCCGCGGCGCCCGAGACATCCTCCAGAGCCGCGGAATTTTTTCAGATCCTCGATTTCGCCCCCCCCCCCCCCCCCCCCTTTGAGGAGGCCGCGGCGCCCGAGACATCCTCCAGAGCCGCGGGATTTTTACCTAACAGCGTTTGCTGATAGGTTTCTAGTAGGGTCAAAAGAGAGCATCAGACTCCCAGGGGGGTCTGGGCGGGTGCCGGGGGTGCCTGCCAGATCGTTTTAAGCCAACAGTCACACACTTCGTGCTCTTCGACTCCCAGAACTCCATCCCGGGCCACATTCATGAATGCCCGGAGCCAACTGTAGGCCACTTCGTGCTCTTCGACTTCCCAGAACTCCATTCCCGGGCCACATTTTGAATGCCCGGAGCCAACTGTAGGCCACTTCGTGCTCTTCGAGTTCCCAGAACTCCATTCCCGGGCCACATTTTGAATGCCCGGAGCCAACTGTAGGCCACTTCGTGCTCTTCGAGTTCCCAGAACTCCATTCCCGGGCCACATTTTGAATGCCCGTAGCCAACTGTAGGCAACTTCGTGCTCTTCGACTTCCCAGAACTCCCATTCCTGGGCCACATTTTCAGCAGGGGCAAGAGCACGACGAGGAGGAGGACGAGCAAGACCAGGAGGACGAGGACGAGCAGGAGCAGGACGAGGAGCAGGAGGAGCAGGAGAAGAAGGACGAGCAGGAGGAGGAGGAGGACGAGCAGGAGGAGGAGGACGACCAGGAGGAGGAGGACGACCAGGAAGAGGAGGAGGAGGAGGAGGAGGGGGAGGGGGAGGACTACCAGGAGGAGGAGGAGGAGGAGGAGGAGGAGGAGGAGGAGGAGGAGGAGGAGGAGGAGAGGAGGAGGAGGAGGAGGAGGAGGAGGACGGAGGAGGAGGAGGAGGAGGAGGACGAGGAGGAGGAGGAGGAGGGGGGGAGAGCACCAGGAGGAGGAGAACGAGGACCACCAGGAGGAGGAGGAGGAGGAGGAGGAGGAGGAGGGAGGAGGAGGAGAGAGCACCGGGAGGAGGAGGACGAGCAAGACGAGGAGGACGAGAACGAGGACGAGCAGGAGGAAGAGGAGGAGGAGGAGGAGGAGGAGGAGGAGGAGGAGAGGAGGAGGAGGAGGAGGAGGAGGAGGAGGGCGGAAGGCGCGCGAGGGTCCCAGGGTCCCGCCGCGCCCCCAGGACTGGGCGCTGCCGCGCGGGGCCGGCCCGCTCCGGCCGCCCGGGGGCTCTGGCCCGAGGCCGCCCCTCTCTCCGACCGCCCAGCACCGCCCCGCCGTAGGGCTTGCGAAGGCCCTGCGGCCCGTGCCGCCAACCCGAAGGGCGGCGGCGACGGCGGCGGCGACGACGGCGACGGCGATGGCGACGGCGACGGCGGCGGCGGCGGCGACGACGGCGACGGTGGCGGCGACGACGGCGACGACGGCGGCGACGGCGACGACCACGTCGACGACGGTCTGAGACGGTCTGAGACATCGCCGCGGGCGGGTCCGGCCCGTCCACCGCGGCGTGCGGCGCGCGTGCGGGCGCTGCGCACGCGCCGCCCAGCTCACCTCCTCCTCCTCTGAGGGCGTCCTGCCTCGCAGACTGCCCTGCTCCTCACCTCGCCTCGCCTCAACCTCCTCTGGCCGCCCCGCCTCGCAGGGCAGCCTGGGGCCTGGCGCGCCCTCGGCGCCCAGTCCTCGGCCTCGCGCTCCCCTCAGCGCGATGCCCTGAACACTCCCCTCGTCGCCGCCACTCCTCTGCGGCCCTCCGCCTCCTCCCCGGACCCCCGACGTCGTGGCTTTATCACAACGGCGACCCCCCGACGGTCTGGGCCCCTTCCCCGGGACCGGTTTTTCATCCTGCGTCGTTTTTCGGCAGTCCCGAGGCCCAGTGCGGGCCCCCGTGGCCGAAAATAGCGAAAAACCTCCCGTCGTGTTTTTTTTCACAGCGCGAAGGGGTCTGGGTCCCTGGCTGCCTGTGCCTTTGCCTCCCGCGCTCCCCTCCAACAGGCCTTCACGAGCTCCTCCTGCAGCGGTTGCAGCGGCAAAGTGCCACCATACGCCCTTCACCCATCGTGCTGGGGCGTCGCCTCCTCCGCGCACCACCCTTGGCCTCCTCCTTCTTCTCCCCCTCCTCCTCCTCCTCCTCCTCCTCCACTTCCGCCTCCTCCTCCTCCTCCTCCTCCTCCTCCTCCTCCTCCTCCTCCTCCTGCCTCTCCAGCTGGCCTCCTGCGAGATTCTCTGGCTCCCGCCAGGGGCCCCCCACAGGCCCCGCCGGGGAGGTCGCGCCTGCAGGCCCTCCTTGGACGGCGGCGGGCGGAGCCCCCCCTCCTCCGCCTCCGCAGCTGCTCCTCGCAGCCCTGGCGCTCTCCGCGGCGTGCCCGGAACAGGAGCACTCCGCGTCTCTGCTTGACCCGCAGGTGGCCTCGGGCTCCAGTGCGCGCCACGTCTATACTGCAGGTCTGCCCACGCTCGCCCTGCTCGCCGACATGCTCGCCCGGGCGGTGGCCCCTCCAGCGGACGATGGGCCTTACGGTAGGCTCGCGTCGTGTCGACCAGCGGCGACCCCGCCAGGTGCGTTCAACTTTGCACGCCGCGGGCGATCCAGAATCGTTCGATGTGGAACGATTTGGACGTTTCGGAAACGGCCGATCGTTAAAGGTTGAACGATCCCCGCAGTGTCAGAGACCAACGTCGGGGTCGACACGACGCGAACCAGCCGTAGCTCCTCTCCGCAGTGAGGGCATCGCATGCCCGGGGACATCCAGCTCCACGATGCTGTCTCCTGAGATCCGGGCGTTGCAGCTTCTTCACGCCAGACAGTTTCGCCTGTCTTCGGGCATTGGGATTCTCGCAGGTTTACCTGGCTTGCAGGGCTGCGCTCGTGATTTTTCCGAGGCTGTGTTTTTTTATGGCGTTTTGTTAGGGGGTGGAGGCCTGGACCCCCTCCTGGGGACCAGCTGTTCTCATTCTGCGTCGTTGTCTAGCGGTCCTGGTCAGGGCCTCGGAGCCAGGGGTTGGCCGGCGCGGCCTCCCTGGGAGGCGGCGGCCTTGCTTGCCTCCTCCTCCTCCTCCTCCTCCTCCTCCGCCTCCTCCTCCTCCTCCTCCTCCTCCTCCTCCTCCTCCTCCTTGGCTCGCAGACGGCCGGCCTCCTCGGCGGCCTTACGGGCCTGTTCGGCCTGGGCAGCCTTCTCGTCCTCAAGCTTCTTCTGCGACCGCGCGTGCTCCAGCGCCTCTTGCAGCTTGACGTCGCTGTGTCCCTGGCTGCCTCCTCCACCCCCCGTGTGCTTGAGGCACTTGGCAGCCTGTTCCAGGAAGGCCACCGCTGCGCCCCAGCCCGTGCCCGGGCTCGGTACCGAGAGCTCCTCGATCTTCGTGTTGAGCTTCTGCAGCTTGTCCTCGTGACGCTGTAGAACTGCACGTTCGTCGTCCAGCGCCTTCTGAGCCTTGGCCATGTTCTCCTCCAGCTTGGTGATGCGCAGCTTGCACTTGTCCCGCTGCTCCTCGACCCTGTTGCGGTCTCGCACAACCCTGCATTCGGTGAAGCACCTGGGCACTCCCGTGTCGATCTGTGCCTGCTTCGCGTCAACCCTCTCTTGGAGCGGGTCGATCTTGTCCACCACGAGCTCGCCAAGGATGGGGTCATCCGACATCTTCTTGAGCTCCGCCAGCTTGGACCGCAACGTGGCAAGCTGCTCGGCGGTCGGGTTCTTGTCCTTGTCGGCCTCGTCGGTGGACTTGCTGGTGTCGTCAGCTGTGCCTGCAGCGGGCTTGGCCTTCCAACACTTCCAGCAATGGTCGTAGCCGTCCCCATTCTTGGAAGTGCAGTGCCCGCACCTCCAAGATCCATGCTGCTGCTGATGCTTGGACTTGGGGGCCATACGCTCTTGCACGCAAGGCCACTTTGAAGTTGGCGTGCAAATCGCCCGCGCTGCCTCCTCAGGCAAAGGGCGGCTCGGGCGCAAAAAGGCTGAACAAGGACGGGGAGGAGGAGGAGGAGGAGGAAGAGGAGGAGGAGGTAGGAGGAGGTGGAGGAGGAGCCCGAGGAGGTGGAGGAGGAGGAGGAGGAGGAGGACGAGGAGGAGGAGGAGGAGGAGGAGGAGGAGGAGGAGGAGGAGGAGGAGGAGGAGGAGGAGGAGGAGGAGGAGGAGGAGGAGGAGGAGGAGGAGGCGGAGGGGGAGGGGGAGGAGGAGGAGGAGGAGGAGGAGGAGGAGGAGAGGGAGGAGAGGAGGAGGAGGAGGAGGAGGAGGGAGGAGGAGGAGGAGGAGGAGGAGGAGGAGGAGGAGGAGGAGGAGGAGGAGGAGGAGAGGAGGAGGAGGAGGTAGGAGGAGGAGGAGGAGGAGGAGGAGGAGGTAGGAGGAGGTAGGAGGAGGTAGGAGGAGGTAGGAGGAGGTAGGAGGCGGAGGAGGAGGAGGAGGAGGCTTGATTGTCCCATCTTTGTGCGCTCTCAGTGCCTGCATGTGTTCGTTCCAACGGTGAAGCAAACCACAAGTCGCAACTCTTGTCTGGCGAGTGGCAGCGGTTCTACCAATGTAAAACTTCTTGCCCCGCGCGAGCGTGTAGATAAAATGCTTCTGGCTGCATGCCGCAGTCCGCATAATTGAATTGAATCCAGCTGGAGCCGCAACAAATCAATAATGGCAGAAAACTGGTTTGGATACTGTACCACACCCGGTCTTGACAAAATCTGTGCAAAGCGCGGCTCGAAAGCAAGCAGCTGCCTGGATGATGATAGCATGCCCCGGTGCGAGCTCCTGCACGTAGACCTCAGTTCCAGCAGCCCCAGCCCAGCACCCAACAAGCACAAGAAAGACCGTGCTTGTATTGAGACGGCTCGAGGGCAACGATGCCAAGTAGCAACGGCGAGGTCGAAGAGCTTCCACATGGCCTGGCACCACAGGGCGCACGGGTTCGCCATGCACAAGTTCAGCATGATGGTGTCCAAAACGATGATGGTGATGGCCCTCCATTGCGTGGGCATCATCGTAATAGCAGTGCATTCGGCGGACCACGAAGCAGCCGAAAGCACACCTTCGCTAAAGAGACCAAGGTACACGCTCAGAACATGTTGTTTCAATGGGTTTTCGAAATCCAACTTCGAAATCGCCGAAGACAAAATAAGATAATGATAGTGATCATGGAATAGCCTGGGCGCTGGTACAGCAGTTGGCATGCCAACCGCCTCCACGCAACCCAGAACCCCCTTGTTAAAGGTGATGGTCAAAGTATGGACTTATACTCGCAACCTGATGTATGTTCTTCCACTCCGCCTGCCAGACCCGTGTCTTGCAATGTTTAAGCGTCCGCTGCTAAGATCTTTACACCATGTTTTCAATCGTATACCTACTGCTGCATCAGAGCAGCAGGAACGAGTATTGCACAATGCGGCCAAACTCGGTCTGGATATTCGCGATGTCCCGGACGTTCGAGGAGTAGTGGAGAGAGCAATTTGGGCATTGCAAATCTTGGTATGCGAGTTGTGGCATTACTTGTTATCCGATTCCACGTTTGCCTAGATTGCCTTATCGTGATGATCGCGCAACTGCTGAATTCGGCGATTGGCAAGCTGCCGAGCAAGTTTTCCGGGTATTCTATGACGTTCAACGGTCGTCTGCTGCAGGGATTTGTGAGCTGCTCGGCGCACCAGAGGACAAGAACCCGTGCATAGTGTGGCTGATGCTGTCCAGCCAGGCTTGGTACAGATGGACATCCATCCTGACCCAAGACTGTGACAGGTGGCGGTTTGATGACAATGCTGACGTTGACGCAGTGCTGAAAATGTACCGGTCTGTGCGCGACAGTTCGTTACCCGCTTTCTTGCTGGGTGGTAAGACTACGATCGGGCGGAAGAACGTCCCCCGGATGTATTTCTCTGTAAAGCGAAAGTGTTTCGCTGGTGCAAATGCTTGGCACCGGTTCTCCCCAGGGCATTTCGCAGTCTTCTTCGGGACAGGCTTCCGGCCGATAGAATCGGCGCATTCGTGCACTAAACCACTCCACAGCTGCGTCCGGAATATTGTGAGTTTCAGCTCTCTTCCCAGCAAGCGCGCTTTCCGGAGAGCGTGCCGGAGCTTATTGTTCATAGCCCGCAGGTTCTTGAAATCTTGGTCGTTGCCTTCACTCAGAGATGCCAGCTCCAGCACGTTATCCAAAGTGAACCCGCTATGCGCCAATACTTCAGGATACTGTGTCAGATGTTCCGAGGCCGTGTCTCATGCTTCCTGTGATGTGTCGGACGCGGGCCAGGCGTTCGAATCTATAGAAGTACAGCACATTGTTGCTTCCATCCGCGAGCTCATGGACCTTGCGAGAGCGGGCCTCGGTAGAAGGCACGTGCAAACGAAGCGGCAGCAGCGGGCGTCTTCTGATACGG